CATTGTTAAGTTATGATAAGAATCATAAAGGTTTGATTATTTACGAGGGTAAATATATACGAATAAAATAAATCACATACTTTGAAATTTTGGTATGACACTTTTTCTGTTCACCCTTCTTCATATACTGTAGATCAGCTTTTCTCAGATTTCTTTTTTGCAAAAGGGGGAAACCGAACATGAGGTCCGTAATAGATGATTAAATATATCGTGCTATTTGGCAGGGTTTTCTTGGCGACTTTGCATGTTCTTATAATTTTGTATTAATTTCGCTTATAAACTTGCACTAGATTTTACAGATTAACAGTACTTTTATGATGTTTTGAGCAAGTATCCCATTGTCATTTATCAGAAGCAGATGACAATCGACATTATAACAGAAAAACACTCGATCGACCTAAAAGATCGGAAAAATAAAGTTATTTTTTAGACTTTGATACGTTTTGGGGATTCTATCATTAGTGATATGCTGTATATATATTTTTTTCTTAAAGAGTACTATAAATGATTTAGGGTGTTCGCCTTATTTGGAAGCGAAATCATCACGAGATGCCCGTAGATTTTGCCAACTATATTATTATTTATTTATTTATTTATTTATTTTTTCTTGCTTTTTTGGAATTATTCCGAGGCGAAAAAATCGGCTTTGGCTCTACGCTCATACATTTTTTTGAAACATTAGTTTTGTATGAATATATATACATATATACATACATGCATATAAGCATAAATATATATATATATAATATATATATATATATATATATATATATATATATATATATATATATATATATATATATTATATATATATATATATATATATATATATATATATATATATATATATATATATATATATATATATATATATATATATGTATATGTATATATATATAATATATATATATATATATATATATATATATATATATATATATATATATATATATATATATATCCATATAAAATCTCTCCTTTTTGTTTAGATTGTTTTGGCAGTAACTGGAACCTCTTGCATGGTATTGCATGTCCCTTTAAAACTTTGTGTCTGACCCGCTAGTGTGTTTCGGCTGCATGGTGAGACTTAGTTCTTTTGCTTAACTAATGTCTAAATAAACCTTCCGCTATCTCCGTGAGGAACATTAAAAAAATACAAGACAGTCCTATCGGGATATTAAAAAAAACAGAAAAAACAAACAAGAACAAAATCAGTATATATAAATAATACTAGATACGTTGATACACATTTTCGTAGTTCATTTAAACCAAACTAAAACAAAACATAAAAGAGTTTAATCGTCTTAACCAAACGTGGTTTTCGGTATTCTGTCGGTTATAAAATTGTATCATTTATATATTTTTTTCAAATCATGAACTGTGATACTTATTTTCATATCTCCCTCTCTTTCTTTATTTGATTTCTTTCTTCATATTTATAGATCTCATTTCCCATTCTATCTTTATTTGGCTTAAGATAATTCACTCTCTCTCTGTGATGATAAGTTATCATACTATCTTAAAGTTATCATACCATCTTAAAATTCTTTCTAGACAAGTTCTTTATCCTCCTGTATCTTACGTATCTTATTCTTTATTATCTTGTCGCCGTCTAATTTCATAAATTACGTTATTTAAAAAAAATCTATCTCCATTTCTTTCTTCCCTATCAACAAAAATCTATATTCAATCTATTCACCATCATCATCAGTGTCATTCATAAATTCATCGTGTAAAAAGGTAAATATTCATCTGTTATGATAATTACCACTAACATCGTTTAAACATCTTTGCTATCTTCACCGCATGCATGGCAGACGCACCAACATAAGTGGCCCACATTGTAAATATATAATTTCCTAAGAATTATTATTATTTTTTTCTAATCATAACAGACTGGGCACAATCTTTCAGCACTATGTCACCGCTTCGACATTTACAACCTAAATCGTTAAGTTTACCGTTCTGTTTTCCTTCAACAATATACTTAGTTACACTAAACACCAAGGAGAGATCGAGAAGTTACTTTCACAATAAACGTATGCACTGTGATATAATTTTTTTCTTTTCTACACTATTAAACCCCATGACACAAACACCAAATAATCACCATCGTCATTATATGAGCACGAGTGACACCACTATCACCATACTAATATCACCACCATTATGGCCATCATCACAGTTACCATTATTATCCACTTATCACCACTAATCACCATACCACTTCCACCATCACCATATTATCACGTTTACCACATCACTACACCACCACCGCCGTCCATGGCTACCACAGTCACCACACCATCACCATATCATCACACCATCACCACCACCACCTCCTTCACCACACCTCCTCCCTCACAGCCCCAGGGGAACGTACACCAGACCCTGATCGTGGAGGAATTCGAACCCGATGTATTTCGTCAGCTGATTGAGTACATCCACACGGGCTGCGTCACGCTGCAGCCGAGGACGCTACTGGGTAAGGAGAAACCGAGACCTTGAGGGATAAATGAGGAAGTAAGAAAGAAATGAACAATGATGAAGGCATAAGGAAGAAAAGGATAATAATTAAAAAAAATAAATATGTATAAAAAATCGATATTTACCCCCATTTTGTCTTTCACTCACTATTTTTTCCATTTCTCCCTGCAGGATTGATGAACGCCGCAGACTACTACGGTTTAGACGAGCTGCGAAAGGGGTGTTCAGGCTTCGTCCAGTGTTGCATCAACGTGGATACCGTGTGTGCTCTCTTGGCTTCCGCTGAGAGATACATACAGTACAAATGCACAAAATCAATGGTGCAAAAGGTATGGATTAGATGGATGGAAAGATAGATGGATAGATCGATAGATTGATCGAAATATGGATGAGAGAGGAGAGAGAGAGAGAGAGAACGAGATAGTTGAGGTAGAATTCTGAAACGTTGGTGGATTTGTATACGAGTGGATGAGTGGATCGATGGATAGGTAAAGAGTTGGATAGAAGGACTAGTTGATTGAAAGACAGATTAGAAGAAATGGAGATGGCTGGTTGAATAGGTATTCACCATGATTGAAAGATGGATAGGTAAATAGACTGATTGACTGAAAGATAGATTGGTAGGCGGATAGGTAGATAGCTGGGTGAGTGGATAAATGGATGAGTGGAAAGGCAGAAGATAGATTGACTGCAAAAAGATGAACAGATAAGAAGATAGATTAATTTAATGAGAGACAAATGGATTGAGGCAAGGGACTGGTTGATGGGTAGATGGATAAATAGACAGATAGATAGATTGATGGGTGGATAGGCAGATAATAGAGGAATAGGTAAATAGGTAGAAAAATGGATAAAATGAATAAATAGAATATAAGAAGTAGATAAGTATATATAAGATAAATTGATAGATAGATTGATGAATGACTGGCTCAGTGACTGACTGGACGGACTTACAGGTAGATAAATGTAGAGGCAGATGAATGAATAGACAAATTAAAAGACCTATAGATAAAGATGTACATTTAACCCCCCCCCCCCACACACACACACGGACACACACGAACACGCACACACACAGACACACACACACACATACACGGACACACACACAGGCAAACACACACACAGGCAAACACACACACACACACACACACACACACACACACACACACACACACACACACACACACACACACACACACACACACACACACACACAACACACACACACACACACACACACACGACGCACACACGCACGCACACTCACACACATACATGTATATGTCTTTATATGACTCTATGTACATATGTATATCTGCCTGTACTTGCACCCACGTCGCTGTACATGTAAAACGTATCTCTCTTCTCTCTCTTTGTTTCCCCTCTCATCTTCCTATCTCCTCTCTCTCTCTTTTGTTCTTTTCTTCCTCCCGTTTCTCTTTCTCTTTTCCTCCTCCCCCCCTCCCCCATTTCTCTCTCCTTCTCTCCTTCCCTCTCTCTCTCTCTACATACCTATATACCTATACGTCTCCCATTGCCTCTACCACCCCCCGCCCCCTCCAACACCCACCCACCCGCACCTCCTCGCCCCCAGGTACTCGAGTTCGTGGACGAGCATGAACGAAGTCCTTAATCTGGGCTCGTTCACCCTCCTGCCCGCAGCACGTGGTCAGACTCATCATGGCCAGGGAGGAACTCAGGGCGGACCGTTTCACCTCAAATTCCAGGTGAGTCTTGGTTCGTTTGGGTGTGTTTTGTTGGTGTTTTTTTTTCGTGTCTGTGTGTGTGTGTGTTTGTATTTTTTTATTATTTTCGTGTGTGTGTTTTAGAATTTCCTTCGTGTCTGTGTGTTTTTTTAATTTTTTTTTCGTTGTCTGTGGTCGTGTTGAGTGTGTGTGGCAGTTTCTTCACGTGTTCATAATTCTTTGTCAGTTTCTGTGCGTTTTTTCTTTTCTATTTGTTTCTTCTTGTTTTTTCCCTTGTGAGTGTTTTTCGTTTCTTTTTCTGGTGTTAATTCCCTCTTTTTTCGGTGCTTTTCTCTTACGTGTCTTCATGTAGTCTTGTAATTTTTCATTTTGCTGTTTCACTTTGTTTTTTTTTCGCGTGTGAACTTGGAAATACTAGTGCCCTTATAGGTAAAGAAATGATCAAGGAGAATGTCATAATTACGTTTTCATTTATATCAGATGTACTCGGGAGATTCTTGTGTGTTTTAATTATTTTTTCCAATTCGTCTTTTCGTGGTGTGGTGTTGGTTTTTTGCTGTTTCGTGTGTGTTGTGTGTGTTTGAAAAATTTTCTCTTCTATATTCACTTTGTGTTTTCTCTTGCGTTTTATTTTCCTTTTTTCTTGTTGATTTCTCTTTGTGTCTTTCGTTCTTTTTTTCTTTTGTTTTTATTAAGTATTTTCTCTTCGTCTTCGTGCTTTCTGATGCGTGTCTTCCCTCGTAAATTTCATTTTTGTGTTTCACATTTTTTTTTTTATCTCCTATAAGTTGAAACTTCTTATTTTAATTCTCATTTTCCTCCCGAAATACTAGTGCTTAAGGTAAAGAAAATGATCAAGGAGAAGGTCATGCATTACGTTTCATTTTATACATCATACAGATACTCGGGATTAAACAGATTGCAAAAGGAACAACGAAGGGAAGGATATATTCGGGGCTTTTCGTGTGTTTTCTTGCCCTTCCCATTCGTTGTTCGGTCTGTTTTATTTTTTAAATTAGGCTATTGTATGCTGAGATTTATCTTAAAAGGATATATTTCCTGGTGGTCCATCGATAAGAATTTATGTATTTGTCTAAATCTTTCAAACTATTCAAGTAGAAATGATGATAATAATAAATAGATTACTAAATAGAGGAATTAATGATTATAAGCAATAGATTTATATATACATACATATTAAATATATATATATATATATATATATATATATAACATACCATCATACATACATACATACATAACACCACACACACAACACACACACACACACACAACAACACACAGCACAACACCACAACACACACACATTCACAACCACACACACAACACACACACACACACACACACACAGCCAGGACGACATATGTATATGGTATACTAATATGAACACTAGAAGAATTAGATCTATGTGCTTATTAAATCAATGATGACTAATTAACTAAACAAATTAAAACTTTTTTTTTTGTCTTACTCCCCCCATCACGTGGGGAAGTATCCCCCTCGCCCCGCTTTCTCACGGCAAAAATATGTAACGTTTTGTGTATAAATTTTGTATATAAATGGCTACTCAAACACCCCTAAATAATTCACCAAAAAATCTCCACCAAAAATTTTCAACAATATCCAATACACTCCACACCCCCCCAAAAAAAAAAAAATAAATAAAATAATAAAATAGATAAATAAATAAAATGAATAAATAGATAATATAAAAAAGAATAGAAAACAACAGCAAATACCTACACAGAAAAAGCAACCACCATACACCATTGCATGAAAAAATGATAAAAAAAAAATATATACCCATAGACTTCCTCTCAAATCTGACCAACCACCCCACCTCTCTCTCTCTCTCTCCCCCCCCCAACCAGGCCGGCCTCATGTGGTCCAAGAAGCACTGCGACAACCAGCCCAACACCACCGACCTGAAGGAAGTCATCGGGAACTTTCTGGAATACATCCAGTTCTACAAGATCCCTGCCAACATCCTCATGAAGGAGATTCATCCCTTAGGACTCGTCCCTTATCACATCATCATGAACGCTCTCGCTTATCAGGTGAGGGGGTAGGGGCAGTGGGGGGTGGTGTTGGGGTGGAGGGAATTGGGGGTGGGAGGGGGAGAGGGGTGAGAGGGGAGATGGCAGGTGAGGGGGTAGGGGCAGTGGGGGGGAGGGGGGAGGGTGAAGGGATATTGGAGGGTGAGGGGGAGAGGTGAAGTGGAGATGCAGGTGAGGGGGGGGGGGGGGTGGAGGGGAGGGACATTGGGGGGGAGGGGGAGAGGGTGAAGGGGAGATTGGGAGGGGGGAGGGAGAGAGGGAGGGAAGGTGAAGGGGAGAGGGGTGAGTGGGGTAGATGGTGAAGGTGGAGATAGGGATAGAGAGGATAGAGGGTGAAGGGGGAGAAGGAGGGGGGAAAGAGGAAGAGGGGAGAGAGTAGAAGGTAGAGGGTGAAGAAGAGAATAGAGAGGGGTAATAGTGCAGGGGGAAGAGGTATAGGATGGAGGAGTGCCTAGATTCATGGTGGAGAGGGAGGGAGTGAGATAAGAGGGGAAAGGGTGAGGTTCAGGGTGAGAGAGGGTGGGGCACAGTTAGAGGGATGGAGGGGGAGGGGGAGGGGCAGGGGACCAAAGAGAGAGGAAGGGACGGTTAGAGAGGAAGGGATGGATAGATTGGAGGATAGAAGGGGGGGGGGAGGGTAGAGGGTTGGGGGGGTAAGAACTGGGTTATAATAATAGCAATCTATATTTGTATCTGTTTCCTCTGAGCAACACAGGAACCACACAGACATACAAAATGCATGCACACACGTACCCTAATATTAGAAATTTATGATAAATGGTTAGTACATAAATCATTTTCAGATAATTATTTAAGTGGACACACTTTCGTATACTTCAAATAATTTAGGAAGAAAAAAAAATGCATGTACATATATAGGCCTATATATTCCTTAGCACATGTGATATTTCGGACATTATTGTAGGATAAGTACCAGTGGTTTACTGAAATATTTGTTATGTTCACGTGAAAGAAAATACAAGTCCTCCTTCACTGTACATTCCATACTAACTTTACAGTGTTTTTTTTCATTAATGCATTTTAAGAGAAACAGTTTACACCCGTATCCCACTTTTTCTCTCATTTGTTATTTATATATTAAGCTTTTTCTTATTCCACGATTCTTAACCTAAGATTGCTGTCCCCGTGCGCTTCGTAATCTTCATCTGTCTCTTTTATTGTTTATTTTCTTCTTCCATTGCGTTTCCCGTTATTTATCCTCCTCTCTTTCGTTTTTCTTGGGTCTCCCATTCCTTCGTCTCGTTTTCTTTTAATCCTATTTTTTTCGTCTTTTTCCCTGCGCTTCCCACCCTTCACCTTTTTATATATTCATTTATTTTTTATTTTCCATTTCCACCTTTTTTTTCTTTCTTTCTTTCCAACTTTCTTCTTACCTTGTATTATTCCCTTACGCTTTCCATGCTTCATTTTACTTTTTTTTCCTTTCGTTACGTTATCCCTACTTCTTTTTTCTTTCCTTCCACTTATTCTTTTTTCTTTGCGCTTCCTTCCCTTTATCTTATATTTTGCACTCATTATTATTCCATATTAATTTTAATTTTAATTTTTCTCTCTTTCCTTAACGCCTCCAACCCTTTATCTTTTCATCCTTCATCTCCACCCATCATTTTACTTTCTTTGTATTTCCCGTTATTTATTTTTCCTTTTTTTCTCCTATTCGCTTTCTGTTTTTCTTTTGTTTCCTATTATTCATCTCTCCTTGTTTTTTCCCCTACTGCCCTTCCCACCCCATTCTTCCCTTTTTTCTCCCTCTTTCCCTTACGCTTCACCCTTTTTCTTCTCTTTCTCCCTTTCTCCCTTACGCTTCACCCTTTTTCACTTTTGTTCCTCCTCTCTTTTACGCTCCACATTTTTTCTTCTCTTTCTCCCTCTCTCCCTTACGCTCCACCCTTTTTTTTTTTTCTTCCTCCTCCTCTCCTTTTTCTCTTTTTCTCCTCCTCATCTCCCTTACACTCCACCCCTTTTTTTTTTGTTCTCCTCTCCCTTACGCTCCATCCTTATTCATTTTTCTCCTCCCTCCTCTCCCTTACACTCTACCCCTTTTCGTTTTTGTTCCTCCTCTCCCTTACGCTCCATCCTTATTCCTTTTTCTCCCTTCCTCCTCTCCCTTACGCTCCACCCCTTTTTCCTTTTTTTCCCCTCGTCTCCCTAATACTCCACCTTTTTTTCCGTTTTGTTCCTCCACCTTTTTTCCCTTTTTGCTTCCCGCGCCTCATCTTAAACTTTGTTCTCCACCTTTTTTCCCTTTTTTCCTCCACCTTTTTTCCCCTTTGTTCCTCCACCTTTTTTCCCTTTTGTTCCTCCACCTTTTTCCCTTTTCGCTCCCCGCGCCTCATCTTAAACTTTATTTTTTCCGCTTTTCTTCCTTAGTCAGAGTCATCGTCAGACACCTGGAGTCTTGATGAAACCTCGTACTACTAGACCTCATGAGCAGCTGCCAAAATGTCCGCTGGCTCCGGAGTTCATGTAGGAATAATGAAAATAAAAATACATATATATTCCCTCCCTCCCTCCCCGTCCCTCCGTCCCTCCCGCCCTCCTTCTCTTCCATTTTTTACGTCCCGCAGGAATTTTCGTATCATTGGAATTAAAGCAATAAGATGGTATAAGGATGATTATTTATTTTTTTCTTTTGTGCCGGCGCTCTCTAAGCGAAATTATCTTTGTAAACTTGGAATACAAAAATGATTAAGAAGATAACAAAGAAGATAAAAAAAGAAATGAAAATGAACGGTCTTCCTTTTCCCTCCCTTCCTTCTTTCACACAAAAGAAAACAAAGAAGAAAGAAAGAAAAAAAAAATTCAATTAGAAATCTAAGCGATAAGAATTTTATGCCGGCTCTCTCTTAGGAAGTCCCCTTTCCCTTGTAACTTGAGAAAAAAAACAGAAATATATATATAAGAAAAATGCCCAAACAACGACCCTCCTCCCCCCTTCCTTTCTCACAAAAAAAAAAAAAAAAAAAAAACTCTAGAAAGTTTGTTGATAATATATTTCATTAAAATCTACGCTTACAAGGTCTGCTTAGGAATTCCATCATTTCACTGATATATTGAATGTAATGGTTTTCAAAATGTCTTTGACTGTAAAGTGATATTATATTAGTGATACTGAGTGTTTAGCTTTATGAATTTTCCCTCCGTATTTGATGTCTGTCAGTCGAAAATATCACACAAGTCGGTCAACATATCTTTTACGCAGATTTTGCTCATTCATTTATCTCTCTTAGTTTTCTCTCAATTAATCTCTCTCTCTGTGTGTCTGTCTTTTTATCTGTGTCACTCTCTCTCTTGTCTGTCTGTCTCTCTCTCTCTCTCTCTCTCTCTCTCTCTCTCTCTCTCTCTCTCTCTCTCTCTCTCTCTCTCTCTCCTCTCTCTTTCTCCCTCCCTCCCTCATTCTCTGTCTTTTTGCCTGTCTCTCTCTCGTCTCTCTCTCTCTCTCTCTCTCTCTCTCTCTCTCTCTCTCTCTCTCTCTCTCTCTCTCTCTCTCTCTCTCTCTCTCTCTCTCTCTCTCTCTCTCTCTCTCCACATCTACCTCCGACTACCTCTTAACGAACGCATGTCTACGAGGACGTATACTTGAAGTACAACAGAACCGTATTGCAAAACACTCTCCCGGGGCTGAATCCTCTCTCGGACATTTTCACATGTGATAGCCAACAGACGGGGATGCAAAAAATATGTGATATTACATTTTAGCAAGCCGTTTCTTTAATTCCATGAGGAAAATAAATAAAAACAAAAAAAGCAGCTAATATCAGTACATAGAAAACTCAGTTTGAAAAGCTTCTGATATATATATATTATGGCTAAACAGAAATTCCCAGCGAGAGAGAATTCTTTTGCACGCAGTCGAAATGAAGTCGACGGTTTTCCAATGTTTTGCTCTGAAACGTCGACAATTTCATCGGGTGGAAGGTTTTTCTCTCACGGCTACCTCATTCTCCTCATCGTTGTGGCGAATCTCCTTATTACCGTTGACCATTAACTAAAGATACAGAAAGCTTATAAGAGGATAGGAATCGTGTACAGCCCCTTAGGTCTTCTACGTATAGTGTGACAGTCCATGGATAGTTTTCTACAATAGATGTATAGTAATTACGAACCAGATATTACGATAAAAAAAAAAGATTTGTCTCTATAATTAGCTACCTCCTGAGATTACAGCATTGACCCATTAATGCTTTAGTTTCACATCCTTTCGTCTGTTCACATCCAAAACAAATCATGTTGTTGTCGGTTGCTTAAAAGAATTTCCCCGATCCTGCACACTGATACTATCATAGCATTATTAATATTTTTTTCGGAGTTGGTATCAAGGTCTGTATAAGTACCTTGGTTGGTATGAAGGCTATTGGCTTCGAGGTTCTTCGGATCGACTCAGCTGTTGAATGAGTACACAATATTCGGTTTTGAGAACGTAAAAAAAAAAATTGCTTTGTTTTGTTTTCGCCGTAAACTTCTATGTATGAGTTAGAGAG